TTTAAGCCTGTGTTTGCAGTTACCTTTTTACGGCCCCCGACACCATGTTGGTGTAGTAGCCAACATCCATGGACACAGGTCCGGAACGCCAGCCTGAGCCCATGGGACAGAAGCCCGGGTGGAGCCTGTGAGGGGAGGGCAGCCAGGGCCCCAGGTAGGCGCCACCCCCAGGGCAGTGGGAGGGGCGTTCCAAGCACATCCTGGCTGTGGCCCGGGCCTGCCGCCATCACAGCCTCCCAGTGGGTTAAGGATGGTTGTATGGCTGCCCAAAACAGACATTCTCCTGCTTGTCACCTATAGCAACTGACCTCTGTGGAGATGAGCAGCAAGGACCAGGGACCCCCAGAGCCCCTGTGTGTGGGGAGCTCTGCACAGAGGCTGGAGAGGCCAACCCCCCCGTGCAGACCCCTGACTCACACGTTTCGAGACTGAGCTGTGATTCTCTCTTTGGATGGTAAAGCCTTTATTTAAAGAAAATTTTGTTGTATAAAGGAAGTTGGTGCCTCAAAACCCATGACAACCTCCCAGGGAAAAAGGAGCCAAACTGAACATTAAGAAGCAAAGAAGAGAAATGATGGCTGTGCCTTTGAGTGTTTTCTTTTTAAGCCAAGTTAGACATCACCAAGACAAGAATTCTTCAGGATTAGAGTGACCAAACCCTCAGGCGTTCTGGACAGAAGCACTGCTCCCTGAGACCCAGAGGTGGCTTACAGATTAACATGCGCCATGCTCCATAAAATATTTAAGGGAAAGGAAACAGAGTCGGCCCAGCACGCTGGGGGTGGGGGGCCGACACCAGAGCCGTCTGTCGCCTCCACCTTGGGTGTCAGTCAGCCAAGAGAGAACAGGCAGCAGCCTGGGTCCTGATGAAAAGCATCACATTCAGCCCAGGAAATGGGGCTTTTCCCTAAAACTTTTAAAAAAGATTTTATTTATTTATTTTTTGAGAGAGGGGAAAAGAGAAAGAAAGAGGAGAGAAATATCAGTGTGTGGTTGCCTCTTGTGCACCCCCTACTGGGGACCTGGCCTGCAACCCAGGCTTGTGCCCCAAATGGGAATCCAACCAGCGATCCTTTGATTCGCAGGCTGGCACACAATCCACTGAGCCATACCAGCCAGGACTAATTTGTTGTACCACTTATTTATGCATTCATTGGTTGATTCCTATATGTGCCCCGATGGGGGATCAAACCTGCAACCTCGGTGTATCGGACGCACAGAGGTGGCATAGGGCAGTCTGGACCCTGGAGAGCCAACCGCCCTCCGAGGTGTGGCCCTGGGACTGAGGGGTTTAGGGGAGAAGGGAGGGGAGGGTGTGCAGGTGTTCCCTGGGCTCTCTCCTCCCACAAATCCTGGAGCCGGCTTTGACCCTCCCCAAACGTCATTGTCCTCACGGCGGCATCCTGCACAGGTTCTCCTTCCAGGCTGGATCCTGTCTCCTAACTGCCCTCAGGCAGAAGGGGGAACACGTGCATCTCATGTCTTGATTCTGGATTTGAACCACCTCTGAAGATCTCACCAAAGGAACTGCACTGGGGGTTCCAACCAGCACCCCTTTACCAGGAACAAAAGAAGAGCCATGGTTCAGCCTCATGCACCTGCAACCTTCCAGACCACCTTTGACATTTCCAGGCCCGTGGCCACACGGTCAGGCCTTTGCTGTGAGACAAAAGGCTCTACGGTGCCCTCACGCACCAGCTCTCCCTCCCCGCAGCCACATGGGGGAGAGTGGTGGGGCAGGTAGTCACATCTGGAGCACATCTCTCATTTCCTGGGCGAAGATGCACAGGCGACTCCTGTCCCAGCACAGGATCAGGCTGCCCTCAGCGAACTAACTAACCATGGTGCAGGGCGTGCTGCTGTGGCCAGTGCGTGCTGTGGGCTTGAGGGGGAGCCCTGGGGAAGTGCCGGCTGAGCCAGGGAGACACAGAGATGGGGACACACAGCTGGGCTTCTGTCCTGTCCCAGAGAACGGAGACCCCACCACGGTGGCCTCTCTGCACACACAGGCACTCACTCCAGGGGAGCTAGTCTGAGAGTGAAGTTGAGTGATTAGACTCTGCAATTCCCACTCCAGGCTGGCTGCTGAAGGAGGCACCACAGGGACATGGACACGACCTTAGGAGCTTGTGAGCGGAAAGGCTGGGTGTCCCCAAGGATTAGAAATTCCCCTCTATCACACCCCACATACCTGCAAGTAAAAGGACCATTTTGGACAAGTGCCCACCGTGCCCCACTTCCTGGCTTGGAGCAAGAAGTGTCAATAAAGCCTGTTTCCTTTTTAAAAGCCAGTTTACATGGTTTAAATGGAGCACCAAATAATAGGGCTTTTGTTCCCATATAGTGAGCACAACATAAAATAATTTCACTGACCACTGGCTAGGACTCCCGCACCGTGGAGCCCAAGGGCAAACCCTGGCCAGCCGGGTGGTGGGGCAGGCAGCGGCTCCGGGCTCAGCAGTTTCCACACCTGAGGACTGCGGCCAGGGAGTGGCTGGGGTGGCCCATCCTCACCTGGGTTCCCCAGTGGTGGGGAGGGAGGGAGGGGGACCGGCCCCGTGGATAGCAGCCCACAAGAAGAGGTGAATGTGTGGGGGGAATTCCAGGGTTAGGTGGGTTCTCCTGGCCCCAACAGCCCCCTCTCTTCAGTGTCTCATCGAGAACCCTGGTGCAATGCCCTCTATGCCAGCATGAGGATCAAGATCTCGGCAGCCTGAGAGAGACCAAAAAAATGCATCAAGGCCTGTGCACGTCTCCTGGCACCAAACCCTTTCCCCAGGGGCACAGTCCAGTGTGCTAGGTGACAAGGGCCAGGGAGGCAGAGGGGCCCAAAAGGAGCAGCCAGAGGAAGACATGAAGGGTCAGCTGACCCAAGCCCTTGTCCCTGCTTGGGGTGCTGGGAGCTGAGCTCTTCCGGCCAGAAGAAGGGCCCCATGATGGGGCAGTGCCCACTGGGAGGGCCATCTTTCAGCCGAGAGGTAAGGCCAAGGCCACTGAGGCCCCAGTTCCTGTGCAGAGAGCATGGGGGCAGAGCAAGCCCAGGCTGGGGTCAGTGCAGAACCTAGACCACCGCCCTAGGGGCCCCTGGGGAGGGAGTACAGACCTAGCTCCACTTGCCTGAAGCACAGGTCATCTCACTGCTGACTACTGTCAGGAAGAGTTCCCCTGGCAGGCTCCAAACACAGTTCTTGTTCTTGCCCACACTCACCCTGAAATTTCCGCCAAGTTCTTCATCAAAGCCATTTCCCTCAGAACAGGCTGGAGGCCTGCCTGACCCCTGAGCAATCATTAGTTTCTTTGATTTACTCTAATCAATAACTGCAGAACTACCCCCTCAGAGGAAAACAAAAGGACCATGTTACTGGTAAGCAGAGCAGGAGAAGCCTTAGCCCCCTGCTAGAGAGTGCCCCCTGCTTGGGCACAGTGGTTTGAGGGGAGCAGTGGAGCTGGGGAGCAGTGGAGCAGGGGAGCAGTTCCCCCTGCTTTGGGGTTGATACCACAGGTGCACAGCAGGTGCCAGCCACACCTCTCCTGGAGCTCAAGAGTTAGAGGATGACAGGGAGGCGCGTGACCTGAGAATGAGCCACTACTGAGGTGACAAGAGTCCTGTCCACATACTCACACCTGATTTAGAACTCAGAGCAGAACTGGATCAACACACACATTCCATGTCTGTGCCAAAGGCGCTGTCCTACAGCGAGGGTGTCTGCAGCACACACACACACACACGCCTACGGGCAAGCATGCTTCATGCACACCCGCGTCACAGGAAGCTCGCTGCTCATGTGGGGAGGTACCACTCAGATGTCACTGTGATGCTGAAGAACTTCCCAGTACCTCAGAGAAAGGTCTTGTCCAATGGGCCTCTAAAAGCTCTGCTCCTCTCAGCCCTCACGCTTACAGCCACCCTCCCCCATCGAGTGCACATGCATGACCCTTGTATGCGCTGTTTCCCCAGGGTGGGGGACAGCCAGGAGGCCCTTCCACCTGAGGAGCTGGCCTGCTGGGACTACTGGGCATGGCAGACGGTAGTGGGGACCAACCTCAGCTCTGCTGTGGTCCTGTAGGCAAGCGAGAGCCCAAGGGCAGTCTGCCCCAGGAAAGGATTGGGGGAGATCAAGCCCCAGGGTGGGCCTCCCTTCCCAGGGGCATAAACCCCCAGGAATGGAGAGAGACTGCAGTGGAAGGGCAGGGCTGCAGCAGCCCTTCAGCTTCAGTCAAACCCTGCTCCTGCTCTTTGCTGGCTGGAAACCAGGCTTTGCCTTGTCCTCCCATGTTCCCACCCTCCTGGCCCAGGGCTGTGGGCCCCACCAGTGTGAGCAGTGAGTGGCCAGGACGGACACTGTCTATACATGCCCCACATGTAGGAACCAGGCAGGGGACACCAATGTGGATGTCAACACTTCTCAATTTTTTCAAATCAGAGTTCTCAAGACAAAGTACACGAAGGTAGACGTTAGATAATTAAAGTGATTAAAGGCGGGTGGGGTCACTGGGGGAAATGGCACAAACCAAGCGGCTGATCAGAGGCCAGCACGTGTTGTAAAAGCAGAGCCCTGAACGGAGGCCTCACTGACCCTTGGGCTGCGAGACACCCAGAGAGAAGGAACCCAGCAGAACATTTCCCTGGTGGTCTGAGAGCCCCACACCTACACAATCCCGGACTGTGAATTGGACGGACGTTCTGAGGGCCCAGAAGCTGTCACCGCCCAATCCCCCGAAGACAATGCCTCAGCATCTCCCTCTAGGCCCCGAGACAGGACACACCGCGGCGGACGGGAGCGGCTGCTGTCAAAGTCTCGGAGGAGAGCGCTGTGGACGCACCGCACCAGCTCAACCCAGCACTGACCACGCAGCAATACGCGGCCGTTCCCAAGGCCAGCGCTATAGCCGCTCTCCCACCCAGGCCGCCGGCCACCCAGCTGCGACGCCGTGGACGCCCGCAACTCTCCGGATGTCCGCGCACCCCCGAGGGGACCTCCGCGTCTGGCCCTACGTACCGTAGCGACTCGGCTCACGGCCGTAGTTCAGAATGGGCAGCGCATCCACCAAGGACGGCTCCGGGGTAGTTGCAGGGTCCGGACTCTTCACCCCGCCCGCCGCGGGGGTCACCACGAAACGCTGGGACATACTGCCCTCGGGTGCCCTGGCGACGCCAGGGCTGCTGGAGGTGAGCCGGGTTTGAACGGAGGACAGGTGGGGGAGGGCGTGGCAGGGGAGGAGCAGAGGTGGGGGCGGGGCGGAGGTAGGGGCGGGGCGGGCGGAGGTGGGGGCGGGGCGGGGCGGGCGGGGCGCGGCCTGCGGGGAGGAGACGGTCGCCAGCACTCTATGGGGTCAGGGTTCCGGGAATAGCCAGGAGCGTTGCCGGGGCGCGGGCACCTGGGAGGAGAGGTCTTGGCAGATAGGGTGGACTTGGTTGCCGACCGTCGCTGGATCCCTTTTCCGCCATTGGACACAGAATTCTTGATCTTGAGGCCAGTCCTGTTCCTTCCGAGTAGCACAACCTCGGGGGGTCGCACTGCAAGATCATGGAGGCCCTATCCCAGGAAAGCCAGGACCTGGTCCAGGAGAGGGACAGGCCATGGGACGCGGGAGATCTCGGGTCTCCCACGGCTTCACCCCCAGCGCCGGGGCTCAGGCCTGGGACCACTGCCCACGCCCAATGAAGGCGGGTACCAAGGATCCCAGAGAGATGGAGAGGTGAGGCAGCCAGTCCCTGGAGTTTGGGGGATGGATGTGCAGGAGAGTGGAGGGCAGGAAGGGTGGAGGTGAGACTGGGTGTCAGGAGGTATGGAAACCAATGGACAGGCTCCTCCTGGGGGAGGATAAGTCACTCCGTTAATGGGTTTCTACAACACATGCCGCAGGTTCATATTGCCATCCCATTGTTACCACTTTACATTTATTAGCATAGCACTTTAAAATATGAAACGTGGTTTGCACATTCACTCGTTCAATGAATACTCACTAGTGACTAGCTATGCCAGGCCCTGTGGATGACATGAGGAGGCAGAAATCCCTGCCTCTTGAAGCATACATTCTGGACTGGAGACAGAGATCAGAGCTCTGATTAAGGAGCAAACAAGAACATTTCTAGGAAGGGCACAATTGTGAATGGGGTGTCTAAGAGGGACCCAGAGGGAGATGACATCTGAGCAATGACTTAAAGGAGGTCAGTGGTCAGCTGTGGCATCCAATCCATATGGCATTCAATTCATTCGCCTCATGGCCCATTATGGCTGCTTCGGGTCCAGCCATCTCATTTATATTCCAATAGCGGAGAGAGAAATTAGGCAAAGGGCAATGAGCTGTCCTCCCAAGAGCCCAGCCCAGAAGTTGCACATAACACCTTTGCTCGAACCATTAGCCACCACAAACTTAGTCATATGACCACATCTGCCTGTGAAGAAGGCTGGGAAATGTGCCCACTAATGTTTGGGGGCTCTGTTAGTGAGGAAGAATGAGGTACAACAAACACAAGAGAAAAGATTCAGGATTCTGGAGGATGAGGATTCTGTTCTTGCACCCTCCCTCTCATTATGTCCCCCCACCTCCATTCATTGGGAAGGAAGAGGACCAGGGTCCAAGTTCTCACACCTGCAGGAACAGCTGGCCACACACATCTCCTTCCTGCACAAACTTTTGGGCTCTTCTGGGTGCTCAGGAACCCCTCTTGCTCCCTTCACAGATCTCGGAGTGTGACAAATGGGAACGGCAGCACTGTCCTTTAGCCACCCATTCTTTGATATTTTCTTAGCCACTCTTGAGCACTAATCCTCACCCCAAAATGAGCATATGAATAATTTTGGAATGTTTCCCACCAAATACATTTACGTTTTGACTGAGTGGCATCCAATCCATATAAATAAATTAGCTGAGAACTGACATCTTTATGGTGTCGAATCCTTCATTCAGATTCTGCAGGTCTTTTTCATTAAGTTAATTCACACGTATTCACATGTTTTGTTACTCCTGTAATGAACCTTGCAACTGTGCTGATATGTAAGAACAAAAGCATAAAACACTACTGGCTTTTGTGTGTTTCTTTTGTAACCTGCCAACTCACAGAATTCTAAATTGTGTTATTCAATTGCCTTTTCAGGTTCAACTTCTTAGGTTTTGCAAGGGAATCATTTTACCTATAAAGAATGATAGCTTTGTATTTCTTTGTTGTTTTTACCTCTTCTGTTTTCTTTCGCCCTTTTTGTTTTTGTTTTGGAATTTTCTAGAAATTCCAGAGTAATAGGAAATACCATGCTTGGTGGAGCTCCTTGTATGGTCGGAAGCAGAATGGGACCAGTCCTGGTGTCTTCTCGTGAAGAGTCGTGCTGGTCAAGGGCCTGGCATGGGTGTTCCTGCACTACTGCCCTCCCCTTGCTGGCTCTGGTGGTCATTGTTAGCCAGCAGCCACCCTTAAGTCCCGGAGGCAGCTGGAGGCAGACTTGACTTGGGAGGCATGGGATGGAGCTGCTGAGGGCTGTTTCCACACTCAAGCCTTCTCTTCCCTCTGGTTAGTGCCTGCCAGAGGACACCCTGGCAGTCCAGCTTTCCCTTTAAAATGCCCAAACCTAGTTGGTCCAGCCACACCCTCAATGCAACAGGCTGTCTGCCTGCCCCACCCCTCAGCACATGGCTGCCCTAGAAATCCATAGAAGTTGGAGCCGCAAAGAAACCCCTGGCCATTTAATCTCAGCCTGGATGCACGGCCTCATGCGGGCTGTGGTTGCATCACCTAACCTGAGAGGTCCTTGGTGAATGCCCCTGGGTGCCTCAGAACCCTCTGCCTGTCCTGGTAGGAACGGGCGGGACCTCACCCTGGAGAACCTAAGTGGCCTCTGATCATTGCTATCCATTTGCAATTGAGAACAATGTAAAGTACCTAGTTACTTCTTTAAAATGTCCAAACCAGAAAAATGCTGCCTGGTTCATGTCAGCTCTCAATGTGCTGGGTAAATGGAGATGAGAGGATAAGGGGCTGTGAATACAAAATAACACAGCCTGCCCCCTGAGGAGCAGCTCAGGGGTGCCAGGAAAGTTCGCAAAGGGACACCGGACAGCCACGAGGTGGGGAGGGTGCAGGTGCAAGCATGAGCTAGCCCTCAGTCCTGCTTTCCCTTTTCCTCCCACTCATTAAGTTCAGCTTTTGTCTTCACTTTCTCCTCTTTCAATCTTTCTTTCTACCATCTTGATCTGAATGCTCAGTTTGAAAAACATCTTATTATGTCTCGGCAAGTGAAAACACTGAAGATTATAGATTTTCTTCTGAAAATAGCTTTGGCCTCCTCTCTCAGGCCGATTTTCTCTGAGTATTCTCTCAAAATCATTATTTTCCACATAATCTGTTATTATAGTTTTACTCTTTTCCCCTGAAATCCCTTTTCCAGCCTCCACTTTTAAAACTATATATGCACACGTCATTTACTTGTTGACTGCTGTTAACTGCGGTCTCATGTGGGAACAGGAGGAGTCACCCTCTCTCCGTGGAGTTCCCTGGGTTCTGGCCGATTCGAGCAGCAGAACACAGAGCACCATTGCCACCCCTGTTCCCCACCCCTGGAAGCAGTGGTCAGTTTCTCTCCTGACCTTTTTTGCAACACATCCCCTAAGTGACAGCCATTGTGCAACATCTAGCCTTCTGAGTCTCAGCCTGGGAAAATTTAAAGCCCGTGTGAAAAGTGTCCACCCTGGCGATATAAACGTCCTAGGAAGGCACTCCACAAAGTCTAACTTTCAGGGGTGACACTGGCCAGGCCTCCAGGCTGCAGTGGTGGCAAAGTGCAGGGTCTTCAGATGGACCCCAAAAGTCACAGTCTCAGAGTCGTTTAGACGATAGATGAGGGCCAGCAGGGGACACGTGTGTGTTTGTGTACATGTGTGTGCATGCACTGGGCGGAGGCTCCAGGTGTCCATAAGGGTCAGCATGCAATCAGCACACTGGCTAACGGGTATGAGCAGGCAGGAACCAGCAGCCTCTGTGTTATCTGACCACGTGTGTACCGGAGCCCCCACTGTCCCCGATGCTGACCTGACCACCCAGCACCCACGCCAGGGGCTTGGTGCTCTCTGGGCTTATCTCACTCGACCATGCTGAGCCATCTACAAGGCTAAGGCCAAAGAAGGCCCCTGTGCGCCGCAGTCCATGTGGCCCAGAGGACCCTCTACCTGCCCAAAGCCAACCCCCTCCTCGGTGAGCGCCCCGTGACGCACCAGGAGGGGCACTGGGACACATGTTAGTAGAACACGCAGCTGGCTGTTGAGTCTGAGTGGATGGTTTGGTAGGAGACTAGAGTCCTCTGTGTCTTGGTGGATAAAGCTGTGCTCTGGGGGCAAGGACATTAACAACCCGGAGCCTGGAGCCCTCACTTCAGAGCCATTTTTTAAAAAGATTTTATATATTTATTTTTAGAGAGAGGTGAAAGGAAGAAGAAAGAGGGAAGAGAAACATCAGTGTGTGGCTACCTCTCATGCACCCCCCTACTGGGGACCTGGCCTGCAACCAGGCATGTGCCCTGACTGGGAATCAAACCAGTAACCCTTTGGTTCCCAGGCCAGCATTCCATCCACTGCGCTATACCAGCCAGAGCTGGAGCCATTTTTAATGACTCCCCAGGCAGGACAATCTACATGCCTGTGTGTACACACTCACACACATGCACACACAAGTCCGGGGTGGTGTGAAGACTTGCACCAGCTCTCTGAACCTAACCCCTGGCTCCACAGTCAGCTTGAGGACAGATGGGGTTCCAGGTGCGGTCCAGGGTCTGAGCCACATGGGCTGATCTAGCCCAGGCCTGGCAGCTTCAACCCTAGTCAGGCTGTGCTGTATGTCACATGCCATGGGCCCATGGGCCCATGGGGGACAGTGAGGAGGCCCATTCGCTGGGGTCCATGCCATGGACCTCTGACCTATTGTCCGTCCGGCCTGCGGCCCAGCCCTGCTAGTCGTCCCCATTTACCCCTCCACCCGTGTACTGTGGACACAACCCCAGCCCTCAGAGGGGTTCGCCTGTCCATTTCCAGGTCCCCTCTTCTTTAATAAAACCCGTCCTCCCCCTCCCCCATGAACAACAAACGCTCGACCTTCCCCCAACCTTCAGGAGGCTCAGATCCCACTTGGGTTTCAAGTGTCACCTCTCTGAGAAATTCAAGGTCCTGTTGTGAGAGGGGAGAGG